ACAACGAGCTGAAGTACGTGAAAGACAGCAAAGTCATCCCAGGAGAAGATTGCGTGCCACAGCATCGGCCACTAATACTAGATCTCAACGTACCAATAGACAGGAAAAGGAGGGCTACGACATACGACGCCCGTACAAGAACGCTAATGGAATCCGTTTTGCCAGAAGTGGGAAGTGATCCAAATCATTCCTGGACGAATCTGAAGAACAACATCTATCAGATAGCTGGCGATCTACTTGGGCGCACGAAGCCAGGAAGAAGGAAGCTTGACAAGGAAACATGGTGGTGGAACGATGGAGTGCAGCTAGTGATAAAAAGCAAGAAGATGGCGTACAAAGCATGGCAAAAGACAAGGACAGAAGATGCACACCAGAAGTACCTAGAAGCAAAACGTGAAGCCAAGAAGAGAGTCAGAGAAGCGAAAGAAGCATACGTAGCAGAACTGTATGGCAAATTGCGTACTCGCGAAGGTGAACGAGAAGTATATCGGATCGCTAGAAGACGAGCAAATGCCGCAAAAAAACGTTGAACACTTCTACCACATCAAGGACGCGCACGGAAGAATTCTGAGGAAGCCGCAGGAAATCAATGAAAGATGGAGGGAGCACTTCGCAAAGATGGCGTCAGCAAACAACGAATATGCGTCCACCGTAACATCCGAACCAGTGAATGGACCAGTACCAGCAATCACTGAAGATGAAGTCCGTACCGCCATAATGAAGACAAAGAGCGGCAAGGCGACAGGCCCCGATGACATCCCCAGCGAGTTCTGGAAGCAGTGTGGAGAGGCTGGAGTTTCGTGGCTAACGCGTCTTCTGAATCAGATAGTCGAGTCGAAGAATATCCCCGATGATTGGCGCAGAAGTACGACGGTACCGATATGGAAGAATAAAGGCGACGTAGCTGACTGCTCCACCTACCGACCTATCCGTCTCATGTGCCACACGCTGAAGATCTTCGAAAGAATACTAGAGATGCGACTTTGAAGTATCGTGATACTGAGCTCCAACCAGTGCGGATTCGTGAAAGGATGCAGTACGACAGATGCCATTCACACCGTCAGAATGATGATGGAGAGAAGCAGAGAAAAGCAATGTGAGCTCCACGCGGCATTCCTGGATCTTGAGAAGGCATTCGACAGAGTACCGCACTACGTTATATGGTGGGCACTGCGGAAGCACGAGGTACCAGAAGAATATGTTCGGTGGATCGGAATGATATACAAGGATGCCACCAGCTACGTAAGAACAGCAGCAGGACGTACAGAAGACTACCACATAGATGTCGGTGTACATCAAGGATCCGTTCTCTCCCCTCTACTCTTCATCACAGTGATGGACACGATAGTCAGAAGCTTCGTAAATCCACCTCCTTGGACCGTCATGTATGCAGATGATGTGCTCCTGATGGCAAGAAGCAGGAAGGAATTGGAGACAGACGTAGCAATATGGAAAGAACAGCTTGAACTACACGGTCTGAAGATCAACACCGCCAAGACAGAATACATGAAGCTGGGACTTCAAACGCCAGAGACGATCCAGATTGCAGGCACGCAGATCAAGAAGACCACGTCCTTCAAATACCTAGGAAGTCGCATCGCGGCAGACGGCACGCTCGAAGACGAAATAACCAGTCGTATAAACGCAGCATGGCTGAAATGGAGAAGTCTCACAGGAGTGCTATGCGATAAAAGGATGCCGCTCAAGCTGAAATCTCAGATGTACCGCACTGTCATCCGCCCAACTGCGCTGTATGGAAGCGAGTGTTGGCCGTGCACACGCAAGGATGAACGAAGGCTTGGAGTGATGGAAACCCGCATGCTCCGATGGACGATGGGTCTCACGCTGCTCGACCACGTCACTAATGATACCCTTCGCGCAACGATGAAAGTGGCCCCAATAACCAAGAAAGTGCAAGAAAGGAGGCTTAGATGGTATGGCCATGTCAGAAGGCGAGAGGAAGAACACATCACCAGACTAGCGATGTCAGTAGAGGTTCCCGGCAGACGACCAAAAGGAAGACCTAAGTTGCGATGGACAGACAAAATCAAGTCAGATCTGAGAGAGCTTGGAATAGATGAACGTCAAGCATTAGACCGTGAAACATGGAGGAGACTAATAAGAGTGGCAGACCCCGTATGGGAATAATGCAAGGCTAAAAAAAAAGTAACTTCCATGTTTCCTCCTTTCTTAACCTCGGCATAGTTAGTTGTAATGTGGTGAGTAGTTAGTATGCCAGCACGAGGTTAGTAGATTTATTGTTAGTAGTGGCGGCCTAACGTTTCGACGTGTTCGTCTTCTTCAGAGGCCTCCTCCGCCGCTGCCGCTCAGATAGATGTTGAATGCGGCCGTCCTCAAGTGCCACTAGTATGCAATTAATAATTAATTAATAATATGGAATTAATAATTAATTAATAATATGGAATTAATAATTAATTAATAATACGTCGAAACGTTAGGCCGCCACTACTAACAATAAATCTACTAACCTCGTGCTGGCATACTAACTACTCACCACATTACAAAAAAACAGTATTTTTATAGATCACACTAGGAACTACGACAGTTGCACTTTTCCGCAAAATTTCAAAGGCGTCTTTATCAATGTAGTGTAAAATTTGAAAATTCAGTGATAAAATCAACTTGTGCGTAAACATTTTAAAGTAGAATTTCAGTTGAAATCATTTCGCTTTTTTCGACGAGAATCTCAGTGGTCGTCGTTTGCTGCCGCTTCCTTTTACTTTCATTTCTGAAAAATACTTTCAAATTTTTCTTTCAGGGCTTAACGCTTTTTGAGGCTTGTCACAGTCATGAGTGGACATATATTCTCGTGAGAAAGGCAAGAATTGTTGAGAAACAACTGATATAAGTCTATATCCAAGTCGTGCTGATAAGGAACCGAAGAAAGCTTGCTAAAAATTGCTAAATAACGACTATACTGATGAATAGACCTTTGCAATAAATCATAATTTACAAGAAAGTGCTAACGTCTATCTATTTGTCCGCGTGTCTGTATGTCTGTCATGAAATTCATGGAGCGAGTTGCAGCCAATGTCCCAGGCTACAACTTTGCACAACATATGGTGCATGTAGGTCCACCATGCTCAAGGACGAAACGTCTAATCACTGATTTCTCAAACAAACAGGTCCATGCGTGTTTTAACTCGCAGGAGACTAGCGGTATTTAGACTTTTTGCAATATGATGAGTCCGTTTGGAAAGCGATTCGCAAGCTACTAATTTTAGCTTATATAAACAAGAATTTATTTCTTCGCGAAAAGGGCGCCAAACAGATGATTGTGTGATTTCGTCAATCTTTTGAGATTTACTTAAATAAGTGAGATCATCATAGCATAGAGATGGAGACGTAGACCATGAGTGTCAAGCCAAAATAAATTCGTAGTTTGGTTCCTTTTGCATTCTTATTTTGCAAGAAACTGCTACTATCACAGTTACCGATCTTACCTACAAAAGCTCAAAAATTGAATAGTTGTTCACAACCCATTCGTGATATTCAGCAATTCGCGGCAGTTTCAAGGTTCATGATGCGAGAATGAGTAGGGGCAGAAGAGCCAGTGCGAACCTGTGCGAGGCAAAGACGAGGCACTGATAAAAAAAACAAAAAAGTATTCTGAGTAAACTGCACAGCTTTCTTCAATATGGCACAAGTCTGCCCGTTGCGATGTTTGGAAGAAAGAGGACATTATAATTTTGCTAGTTGCGTTTGAAGCAGAAAGTTTATCGATATATCGCAGAAAGTGCTTTTCGGCGCTTGAAAATGGCAAAAATGATTTTCGAAGCTTTCCGCGTCCGCGTTCGCTCCAAATTACTTGTAGAAAAAGGGCGCAACCTGGAAATGGGCAGCGTTCGGAAGACTTCAAAAGCGGATTTTGGGCTTTCCAAAAGCGCCTTTTCGCTCCAGACTTCACTGATAGACTATCTGGAGGGTCTACCATTGAACACTGTGAAATCCCGGTACTCGTCATTTTGAGAGGACGTGCTTCTAAGCTGAAGACCTACCCTCTGTCTGGCGGCTGGAGAGCGAGGCTTTGAGTGATGAGAGAGTACGTAAGCGTGGGAGAGCGGGTTCTGCATCTCCTTCGCGTACGTGCTCTAATCGACGGAAGCCCTGCGCTCCAGCCGCCAACCCCAGTGAAACAAAGGGTGCCAATTTGTACATGTTTTTCGCTTTCTTCAGGCCTTATCCTTTTCTCTTCTTATATCCTTTCTAACCATGATGAAAACCTCAAGCATTTTGTTCCGCTCATCATTAGTAGGTTTTGAAGCCGAAATTATTCCCGTAAAATCTGCAAAGGGACAATCAAGTAAAAGTTGGTCTACAAAAACGTTTCTTTGTTTTTTCAATGTTGTGTGCTTGTCACTTTTCTTAAATAAGCTGGAACATGAGTCCTGCTTCAAAATGGGTTAAAACCCCAACAGCTCACCCTTCTGTTTTCAAACTGCAATCAAAACCTTTGATACCTTCCAGTAAAGTAAGAATGTGGATAGGAAATTTTTGAATTTTTCAGTTTTTTGCATAATTGCTTTACTCGATTTTGTAGTTGTTTTGAACAACATCCATAAATGACTGATTTTCTTTGCACTTTCCTTCTCCAGGGGCATCAGAAATCTCATAGAGATCTTCCGCGGAACCATTTCTATAAAAGCATTGCTTTTTTCTCTTGAACATTCTTGGCGAAAGCTTTTTAAGCTTTTTGACGAAAACTCAATTTTTATAAAATTTGCGCAATTAGTCTGCTCAAAAGCAAGTGAGAATAAGCAATATGCACAACTGGTAAGTTATTTTCTCTCACATGAACCTTGTCAAAAGACTGAATTTGTTGATCTTTGCGGTTTATCTGCCACTGAAGCAAAGGCCTCCTAGACAAATCGATGACTCGTGATAAATGCAATCACCATCCGTCATACATAGGCCTTGACCATTCCCTTGGAAATTTGAGTCATACCTTTGAAAATAAAAAAAAAACCAGATAATTAACATCAAGCTGCACAAAATCTTGCCAATTTTGAATCGTAGACGCATACAGCATTCACGAGCTTCTTTCCAGATTCAATCTCAGAATAGCAGCCAAAACGCGTAGGTGGTGGATAAACTGCCTAAAAGTTTTTAAGAAAAAGTGTATTTTCAAGTAGAAATATTGAAGAACAACTGACCTGCTTCATTTGTTCTTTATCGTCGAGCAACTCATTGAAACTGTCAATTATCGATCCATAAAGATTTCCGAGATTTTCGCTAAGTCAATATATTGATTGTATTCAAATTTTTGAATAACATTAGAATTACTTGGAGAAACGGATCACGCCATAATGATCAGCAAAGTCTTCTCCATGTATAATTTTCCCAGCCACTTCTTCCAAGCCACAGTCATATTTCTGAAATTCATTTTTCACAAAATTTTGTTTCACAAAATCATTATGGAGTGAGAGTTATTTGGTGGGAAGAGGGGGGGGGGGGGGAACGGAAGGCGAGCCAAACGTTAAATGCTAACGATCAGCTAAACAGCTGTCCTATAGAAAAATAGCCAACCCCTCCCCCAAAAAGAATTTTTTTGGCTCATCAGTAACCCTTCTCTCCATCTTTTAGAATTGCGATTTGATGAAAATCGCAAAAAAAAACTTACTACACCATACATGAGATGTTTCTTGTGGGTTTCATCCAGCAAACCTCTGGCAACGAACAGACGCAGACCATTGTACAATTTTGTGAGTTCGGTTCTGTATTTCAACGGCAAGAAGCAATTTTCACCTAAAGCAACTCTATTTAATTTCCACCACTTTCCACTAAATTTCCTCCGAAATTATACACGTAAAATCTGCTAACAGAGGTTGAGTGAGAGTTTTGCAAAAAAACATTTCATTGTTTTTTTTTATATTGCAAGCTTGTCTCTTTTCATAAATAGGTTGAAACATGAGTCCTACACAGAATAGGTCAGAACCACAATAAGTCACATGTCTTGTACTACTAATAGGTTTTATTAGGTCCTTTCTACCGTTTTTACCCTAGACATCAGCATTTCTCAAGAACTAGGGCACCTACAAAAGGTACAAATACAAAATTGTGGGGGGGGGGGAAGGAGGAGTTGCCATTTAACTCCATCCATTTGTTTTTTTTTATTGAGTGTACAGTTGAATATTCGATGTGTCAAGTATATGCAAGGATAAATGGGGAATTTTTAAGATTATTAGGGGCGGAGATACAATTTTGTACGCTAATGTTCGTTTTTGGTTGCTGTCAGATTTCAGCTCATTCACGTGAAAAACGATTTGTGCGGACTTTTTATAGCCACCTTAAACAGCTTGCTTTGCCCTGTCCAAGGAAAGCTACAAAAAACGACGTTTATAAATAAAAACGGTAAAAAAATTTAAGGGACACCCTAGTCGATAGAGTATCGAAAACCCGAGGTCAGTAAAAAAACCCACGAATCCCAGGTTTCAGGATACCATTCTACAGAGTCGAAAATCCGAAATTAATAAAAACCATAAGCCTTTTATTCATGCATGCACATCAGATCAGTATATACAGCTGCTGTACTTTCTCCAATCAGAAGTTAAGAAAACCAGTTTTTACATTCTTTTGCCAACACAATACTGAGCTGTTCCTACACTGTCATTGTGCGCTACAAGTCTTCTACAATGTAATTTCTAGTCTTTTACAAGACTTAGTCTCAAGAAATATCGTATTTGATCTTTGAGAAAGTTGGTTAAAGTCAGAGCCAAATTTGATATTTCTCAAAGACTAGCTCTTGCAGAAGGCTGAGATCTTATAAATGTACTTCTAGAAGCTTGTAAAAACAATAACGTTACTAGTGCGAGAACAATCTATATAGCAATCCCCACTAGAAACCTGATAGTTTTGTTTTCTCGATTTCTAGTCAAGGAGAAGACAAACTGCATCGATGTGCAATGTATCATTCATTCTCTAAGGGCCAAGCATACTTCACGCGATTTCAATCGCGACGCGATTTGGCAATTCGCCAGAAGTCTTCAGAATCCAACGCTAGCATTTTGCACATGCAAAGTGTGTATAACTTACGTGGACTGACATGCCCTACATTCCATACATTTATTATTTACAGTGAGTTATAGGCAGTTGGAGTATTGCCAAATCGCATCGCGACTGAAATTGCATGAAGTATGCCCGGCCCTTGAGAGACATGCACTTTGCACGAGTATTATTAACAAGTTCATGAATGAGTTTCAATGCGTTTTGGTTGATTTACTCTCAGAATTCGTGGAAGAACTTGTTGAAGCTCGCTAAGCCACGCTGGTTTGGACACGTTCTTCCACGAATTCCTTATGGTAATTAACCAACAGCGTTGAAACTCATTCATGAAGTTGTTGCAAACGCACGCAAAGCGTGTCGCCTCTCTTACGAGCAAGGCACTTTCAATGGCCGTGGCCTTTTGATATGAGATGCATATTACCCGAATCATCTTTAAACGCTGATTCTAAATCTGCTTTCCTTTTCTGCGGAGCGCTTTTGTGAAGAGAATTTTGGAAGCCTGAACATCCTATTTTGTGGGCGATGCTTAAGTTAAAGAGCGCTGCTATGTGTGTTAATGGTGCAGTGATGTAATGGTTGATTGTCGGCATTAAAGGCAAAAGGCCGATTAGAAGGTTCGAATCCAGTGTAGAGCATTTTGCACTACGAATGTTAGTTTAGAAACCACTCTAATTCGTTTGCAGACACTTACTGTAATGCCCTCGGCAAATGTGATTTAAGGAGAATATTTTTTAGCAGAACCGCTTGCTTGTTGAGATTTAGTTTTCTCCGCAAAAAAATTCATGTACAGAGGTGAAGCGAAATTACAAAGTGAGCAAAACACAGACATTTCTCACAACGGGAACAGCGTATGAAGAAAAACTCCACGCAATTCTCATGCTCGCAAGTACCTGTGTATGCTTGTAGAGAGCGAAGCCACGTTCCTGTATGCATTTCGATGAAAATTGCATTTGGTTGGACCTTGTAACGCTACTCTGAAGAAAAGATTGTCTGAGAAGAAATTCACTCACCTATGGTGTCGTGTATGTTTCACAAAAAAAAGTACGTGAGCCTATAACAGTCTGAGATTTACAAAATGTGAGCAAAAGGCAAGACAACGGACCGCTATAACGAGTAAGAGCTTTATTTTCTGTTTTTTCTCAATCGTACCACTTTTATGTTCGTCATGTGTATATCCGTGCAGGTGATGGGCAAGAAAAGGTTACCATATGCTATCCATTAGAATCTCTAAAAAATGAGACATCCATATTGCGAAATGCTACAGCAGTGTAAACATTGTGAAATGGTAAATCGTTCGATCGTAGCTTGGAATTTCGCGTTCAGAGGCAGGGGACCGGGAAAACTGCGTCTGCAAGCTCTCCTTGCAGCTCCTTACACGGCCTTCTGGATGCACTTAGTCTAGTATTGTGCTTGAAAAGTAAAAAAGAATGCCTTTTACTGCTTTTTCTACCATAGAGATGACTAAAGGGAATAGGCGGGGGAACGCCATAAACAGCTGGCTGCAGGAGACTGTAACTTCACCCATTTTGGCGATAATTGGCTTATTGGCTTAGGCAGCCAATTACGAGTTGAGGGAACCTGGCTCATTCCCTCCAGCTGTCTTCATGGTAGGATAAGGCCGCAAAAAGCACTTTTTTGACATTTCATGCACAGCACTGGACTCAGCGCATCTAGAAGACCCATGCAGGTGTGCAAAGCTGCACACCTGCATGATGTCCAAGATGTCTCGATATCGTTCCCTCTGGCATGTCGAATTTTACATCTCCGTCAATCACACCGTCACACATTACAAATTACAAAAAAGACTTTAACAATTGATTTTATCGATTGATTATCCATAAGCCTTCATGATCCCACTATCGGGAACTTTCCGCAGATTCAAAAGATAGAATTCGGAAAGCGTCCCATAGTCTACGAAACGGTAAACATGACATGGAAGGGTGAATTCAGGAAATTTTTTCCCTCATTAGTCTTGAGATTGAGTGTGTTTTATGTCCTCTACAATACGCCTCGAACAGTCTACGTTTTGCTAGAATAAAGGGAACTTCCAATCGCGCGCGGCTTAAGAGCTGGGATGTAAATTTTGCCCACTGTTTCTCCAAATACGAAATTTTCATCCAAAGTTAGCTCCACACAACGACATGCTCTTCGATTAGTATATAGTTTACAAGCAGGCCCTAGATGTAAAGCATTTACCTAAATCTATCTTCTAATGTAGCCCTCAGGAGAAAGTAGATCGGAATCCGAGAGTGATATGAAGTCCTGCCTCTTCAAAACTATCCCAGCTCGACATAGCAGCATACTCAAAAACGCACATTGTAACGGTGTCCCTGTTGCACAACGAGACTTTATTGCATAAATAAAACTTTCAAAGGAGAGCTCGTCCACGTTTACAAAAGCAGGATTCCAAACAAATGAGTTTTTGCGGTTTTTAAGTACTTGCAGCTCATTTCTATCAACGTCACGAATCATATGAGTCGAAAATATGTGCGCTACCTTGATATCTTTGAATCAATTATTCTGAAATAGTTTAATTGCGCGATATACTTCTTCCGGAACGTTTAACTGCGCGACATAGTTCTTTTTGCAACAAAGGCGAAAAAATCCATATTTGACTGCATTAATGAGCTTAAGCGTAGCATCAGCGATCAAAAACGTAACGTCCTGATGCTCCGCAATTAATATCCAAGGCGGCGAGGAGCTGAGACGTAGAAGTGCACATCTTTTGAAGCACATAATTTGTAATCGGTTGCCTGACTTTTATTAAATTTTTTGGTGGAAAATGAAATTTTTTTCGTGTTTTCTCGCTGTCAAGGCCCGTAGTAATCCTTCCGGCATTTTGACATAAGACATGACGACTAGCTCGCAAAATTTCATGACAACCTCTTTTTTTAGGCATAAAGTTTGAGAGTCTATCTTGATGGAGATAATCACAGGCAATGTAAAGTCAGTCGCAAAACTATTGTACTGTGGTTTAGAACTCTTCAGCCAACGGGACTCAGCATGTTAACCATTGAACTACATGTATACATTACTTATCATTACAGAAAGGTTGAATAAGTTCACCGTCACCTTCGCATTGACGTGTTCATCACACATAGGTGCACGTGCATTGCTTAGCTAGCCATTCGTGGCGGAACGTTTTCTCCCAATTCTTCTTTGTCAAATGACATTAAGCAAACTGAATTGATACCTGGTTGTCAGATCCAGAAAAACCCACTAGAAGACCTCACTAAACGGAAAGAGTATGCTGTTCACGATCAGCATGTCCGATAAACCGCAGACCAAGTTTCACACGAATTTATAATTTTGATCCCTTACCGTAAACCCCCACGGATCTCCCTCATAGAGGGATCACAGCCGGTTAGTCGCGAGGCTACGTGGGGCGTCCCCAGGTGGCGGATACGGGGATAATCGTTGACCAAAAGCGACCCCGCGCCTGCTCTGATAAGCAAGCGGAGCCGGGGGACGGACTCCCTGCCTTCACTAAAAGCTTGCACTCTAATTTCCCGGGTAGGTGTGTGGGGAGGCGAGTTCGGAGTCGTCTCCAACAAATAAGCTTCGATCGTCCCTCGCGGGGGTTTTGAGCCCAACAAGCTATCCCTGCGAGTAAAATCTTGTTCGACACAGTGATAATATGGAAAGCTCCTTTAATCTTAGAAGAGCCACTGGTAAGGCAGCGCCAGTGAGGACAAGGTTTGAAAGGCGATCTAGGCTGCCCTTTCTTAATCACTGAGAAAGTGCACGCTCCAAAATGCGAGGTTTCCGCAGGGGATTGACGTCAGAGCTGTCATAAACCGGAACTTTCGCAATACTTTCCATAAAGCGCTGCGAAAATCCAGTGAGGCTCGTAAGGTTTCCGCAAAACTTTGAGCTGCCAGCATTTCCGCAGGATTTTGAGAGCGCATGCATTCATGCGATTTCGAAATAGCGAACGCAACATCAACAGCGCATAGCGCACTCTTTTCTTCCATACTGTTTCGCTTCTGTTCCTCCTCTTTTCCTTCTCTTTTTTCTTTCTTTCTTCAATTCCGCGTAAGTAAACCTATACTCATCCATATTCTAAGTATTCTTGCACAGGCATACTCAGACAATCGCCGGGGGCAGGCGGGCACCGGAAAAATAGATTGCTGATCTCTCGCACCCGGCTCGCGAATTTTTTGGAAAGCGATCAGGACTTTTCGGAAGACCGCTTGCTGAGTTCTCGATTCCTCAGAGATTCAGCAATATATCTGCAAAAGATAAGAGCGAAAAAAATTCAACAGGCGGTCTCTCAAGAATCCGCTGACTCAGCAAGCGGTCTTCCGAAAAGTCCTGATTGCTTTTCAAAATCCGCGAGCGGGGTGCGAGAAATCAGCAATCTATTTTTTCCGGTGCCCGCCTGCCCCCAGCGGTTGTCTGAATAGGTGCAGGATTGTAAACAACCATCACCAAGCTGCTGAGTGCTGGTAAAGAACTCAACGGAGGGCTTCATTTGAGCACAACGCCCTTGTTCAGGTATGTCGAAAACTTCTTTGCTTTTTATGCTTTGATTAAAATAATAACGCAAGTAATTTGAAACAATTACTTTGTAGAAAATATGCACTGGACTCAAAGGAAGTGATTAGGTAGAGATTTATTAAAAGAAGGTGGGGGAGGGGGGGGGGAAAGAATAATGGGTCACCAATTTTCAAGATGATCTACATCTTGGTGAATATTGATATATTATTTTCAAAAATATTATATTACAAAATAAAATATTGTAAATATTGTATTTTCAAAAGTTTTCAGATTCGAATTATTATGTGGGACCAAAAGTACGTTCGCCAGTTTTTCAAAAAAATCATAACTTTCTTTCGACTCGATGGATCTTTTTGCGTTTATATTCATCTAAGAGATGAAATCATTCTCTTTACAGCAATACTTTTGCCATGAATTGGCATAAAAAAGTTCGAAAGGTAGAAGCAATTGAAGAAAATCACTCAAAATTGGCATTTTTCAAGGAAAGTCACCAAAAATTCTGAGAGTATTTTTCGATAGGGAAAGCTATGCTCTTTGCTATGGTGTCTTTCCCAAAAATAAAAAATATTGAGAATCAGAAGCAAATAAAGAGAATTACTTCAGTTTTGCAATTTTTGAACATGCTCAAAAATGCCCGAAAACGTCACAGAAAAGACGGGAACGTCATATGAACATGGTTTTAGTGACCTTCTCTTATAGTTGAAAGAAATTCGTGACAATCGAGAGCAATTTTGATTTTCGTGATATTACCGAATTTTCGGATCTGATTTTCTAAGAAAATCAAAATTGCTTTCGATTGACACGAATTTCTTTCAGCTAGAAGGTCACAAAACCCATGGTCATGACTATCCCGTCTTTTCTGTGACGTTTTCGGGCATTTTTGAGCATGCTCAAAAATTGCAAAACTGAAGTAATTCTCTTTATTTGCTTCTATCTGAATTTTTAAAAAAGGCAATATAGTAAAGAGCATGGCTTTCGCTACCGAAAAGTACCTTCAGAATTTTTTTGTAACCCTCCTTGAAAAATGCCAATTTTGAGTAAATTTCTTCAACTGCTTCTAACTTTCGAACTTTTTATGCCGATTCATGGCAAAAGTATCGCTGTAAAGAGAATGATTTCCTCTCTTAGAAGAATATAAACGCAAAGAGATCCATCGAGTCGAAAGGAATTTATGATTTTTTGAAGAACTGGCGAACGTACTTTTGGTCTCACCTAATAATTGTGAACAATTTTCGAAGAAGCTGTGCTAAAAAAATCGAGGTGGTACAAAAATTGTAACCGCAAATTCAACCACTCCTTAATTTTCTTTTGTTGGAAGTGGCCACAAGCCCACGAACCCAAATGTTTCGGTCCCTCCTTCTCCACCCTTGAATGAATTGCGGCGCGGCTACTGCTTTTCGTGTGTCTATCCTTTTCTACTCCTTTCTGCTCTTGATTTTTCAAATCTTTTCCCTCTCACAATACCGCACACATCACAAAATAATTAATTTGATTTGAAGATAAAAAATTCGAAACTTACTTACTTACTTGCTTACTTACTTACTTAGATACTTAGATGGCCCGCCTTCACGTGGCGTGGGGCAGCACAAAAGTTTCCATCGATCCCTGCCTCTCGCTTCAGACATCCACGATCTTCTTGGTTGACGTCGGTGGCTGCGTCCACGAGTTCTAGGTGAAAAGATCGTATCCAGCTGATTTCTCAGCTTGTTCATCAGTTCCGCGAACACGTCTGCCCATCTCGTCGGTGGTCTTCCTCGAGGACGTTTGACTTCGCGAGGAATCCACTCAAATGTTCTTAGTGTCCATCTGTCGTCTGTTCTTCTCATGATGATCTCTGTTCTCAGCCCATCGATGTTCCGCTTTCGCAACGTAATCCGCTGGTTTACGAAGACGGGACAATTTTCTCATTTTCGTACTGCAAAGTCCGACTGTTGCTTGTTGCAAGTTGCTTGCGGCGGGTCATCTTCAGCAGAGTGCGCTCGAGCGCTCCGTAAAGTTTTCGACGTGGCTACAGTGTCGGCCCAAGTCTCAGCTGCGTAACAGAGCGCTGGGAGAACGGTTGAGTCGAACAGGTGGGCACGAAGCTCCAGGTCCGTCAGTTGGTCGGTGGCTTCCTCCAGAGGCCCGAAGGCGGCCCAGGCCGCTCTTTTTCTCCTGTTAAGTTCTTCCCTCAAGTCGTTCTCCATATTCATCGAACGTCCTAGATACACGTAACAAGGCGTCTCCATAATCGGGTTGCCTTCCAGTTCCATCTCTGCATCTTCGCAAGGGGCGTTTCTCATAAACT